TCCAGTATCACAGAACTGTAAATAAAAACCACGAGGCATCATCCCACAGCTGCCAGAGTGGCCATTGTCAAGAACACAAGTAACAAATGTTGCCAAGGGTCTGGAGAAAAGGGAACCCTAGACACTGCCGGTGGGAATGTAAACTGGTGCAGCCACCATGGAAAACAAAATGGAGGTTTCCCCAAAACCTAAAACTAGAATATGACCCAGCAATTCCACTCCCAGGAACATATCCGAGAAGAGCAAAAACATTAATTCAAAAAGATGCATACACCCTGCTGTTAACAGCAGCACTATTTACAACTGCCAAGACATGGAAGCGTCCCAAGTGCTCATCAACAGACGACTGGATAAAGCTGTCGCTCACATATGCGATGGAACACACCGCACCCACATAAAAGAAGAGTATCTTGCCACTTGTGGCTCTTCACTTTTTTTTGTGCTTCAAAAACCAGAATTTTGTAACTGGCATAAACATTTCCATGGCATCAAAAACAATAAAACACCAGAAATAAACTTAACAGAGGAGGTTACCTATACTCAGAAAACTAAAACATCGATGAAGGAAATTGAAGATACAAAGCAATGGAGAGATACCTTGTGCTCTTGGATGGGAAGAATCCACACTATCAAAACGGCCACACTGCCCAAAGCAACCCACAGATCCAGCGCAACCCGTCAAAATACTCGCAGAACTAGAACAAGCAAATCCAAAATTTATAAGGAACAGCAAAAGACCCCAAACGGCCAAAGCAGTATTTTGTAGGTCTGCTTTTTCTTTCTCCTTTTTGTTCTCTTTTCTTGTGGTTTGATGACTAGAGAAGGTCCTTTAACATTTGTTGTAAAGCTGGTTTGGTGCTGAAATCGTTCAGCTTTTGTTTATCTGTGAAGCTTTTGATTTCTCCCTCAAATCTGAACGAGAGCCTTGCTGGGTAGAGTATTCCTGGTTCTAAGTTTTTCCCTTTTATCACTTTAAATATATCATGGCACTCCCTTCTGGCCTGAAGGGCTTCTGCTGAGAAATCAGCTGATCACCTACGGGAGCTCCCTTGTATGTTTGTTGCTTTCCTCTTGCTGATTTTAATATTTTCTCCTTG